AGTTATATTTATCTCCAGTGTTACTGAAGTGAAGCTCTTTGTTTCGCTGCTTTCCTTGCTAGCTAGCTAGAAAGCTAACTGCCATAAACGTTATCTGTTTAACTCCCCAGAGTACTGCTGGTGATTCAGCTGCCGTCGTGCATATCGCCTTGCCTGTAGAAAAATGCCGTCCAACTGGAAAGGATCCTGGACGTTTGCTGTAGCCGCAGTAGCGACCTTGTTTATGCTGGATGCTGTTGGTTTTGCACAGGCGAAGGTAAAATATTAGGCTGCACACCTGACCTTCAAAAATTAATTTACTGGTCGGTCATCAGTATGTTGCCTTCCCATAATGTTATATTTGATCACTTTACTTGAGTATGTTTTCCTAAAACTAAATCCCTTTGTTCAGGAGACTAAAATGTACATTTTTAATGTATCTGCAATGTAAGTTAAGTATTGGAAGAGTGGATCAAAAACATCGTGTCTATTTTCTTGACAATTACAGAACTTCGAAGATGTTCGCTGCAAGTGCATCTGCCCGCCATACAGAAACATCACCGGCCATATATATAACAGAAATGTCTCTCAGAAGGATTGGTAAGAGAAAGCCTTTATTTGTCATTACACACTCTTCCCTGAGTATAATTGTCGATCCATTAGAAGTACAAGGTAGTTTTTTTTTTATCATTACACAACACATGGTTGTAAAACGAAAAGAAAGTTTGTAGTCCCTTCCTGCGCACACACGCAGAACTTAACAAATAATTAAATCTATTTTAAAATGTGGTAACGTATAAGATAAATGAAATAAAACAATATATAATACAGTTATTTATATAACTGTACTAACTTCACATAAAAAGTCTGACATTAGGGAAACCGTGTCCATTGTAACCTGCTTATCTTTGAGGGGTCGCATGGGCTGGAGTGAATCCCTGCTGATTGGGGCGAGAGTTGGGACTCAGGGCAAACCTTGGGACAGAACAGTATGGTGTGGAAATAACATTTTGATGTGTTTTACAGTAACTGCCTCCATGTAGTGGAGCCCATGCCGGTGCCTGGCCATGATGTGGAAGCTTACTGTCTCTTGTGTGAGTGCAAGTATGAGGAACGGAGTAGCAACACCATCAAGGTAGGACTGTCTTTCTTTGGGTTTAATTCTGATTTTTGGCAAAATACTTTGTTCACTCTTATCTTGAATCACACTAACCCAGATTAACAGGGTTGGTGATTGTGTGCCACACAATATGAGTCATTTAAAACATTATGAAGTCTGCTTAATCAAAAGAAACAAAATTAGAGTATAGGGCTGCACGATTAATCTAATTGCAATGGCGATGTCGTCATGTGCGATTACATAACCGCAAAAAGTGTGTGATTTAATAGAACAGAGAAAGTGTGTGTGACGCTTTCTTCTGTGTGTGCGCTGCAGTCTGCTCATTATCTCTGCCCACACCGGGCTATCGCATGTTCCTATAAAAACAGATAAGCCTACGTGTTCTGTTTTACATCTGTTTTACTTATTATTGTTATAAATATTGTTTAACTTTGTTCAAGTTGAGAAATACACATTTCAAAATGTCAGTTTTCGTGGATTGCTTGCTAATTAAGGAAGTAGACTCATAGTACTATTTGTTCCATTATAATCGAAACGCAATATTGTCCACAATAATGAATTTTTCTTCAAATTGTGCAGTAATGACAGTGTTTACAGAGAGCTGACTTAAGATCTGGTTTTACTGGCTCACATCACATGTGAAAAAATGGGAAACCTGATTTTTTGTTTGTTTGTTTTTATCAATATTTTAAGGATTTTTAATAGCTAAAACAGTTTTACACCCAACAAACATCCTGGCTGTCTCAGTATTTAATACATATAATAAAATCTCATTGCAAAGTTCGGTTCAAGATAAGAAGGAATTGTTAGGTGCATTGTTAGGTGCTGATGCCAGCATGGTAACTTAAAATTATGTAATATCTCTCCATTCTATTTGTCCCAGGTAACCATCATCATTTACCTGTCTGTTGTGGGTGCACTGCTGCTCTACATGCTGTTCCTGCTACTGGTAGATCCTCTTATTCGCAAACATGACCCCTATACCCAGCCACTACACAATGAGGAGGACTCTGAGGTAACCATTCAAACAAACAACAAATGTGTGCTGAAACACATACAGTATGTGCATTCATTTCAGTTGAGTGTGAAGTCCTTGATTTAATTTGTTCTTTTTTTGTTTGTGTGTATGTTCAGGAGATGCGTCCGCAGGTGGACAACGCCCAGGCCAGAGGAAACACAGTGCTGGAGCGGGTTGAGGGAGCGCAGCAGCGCTGGAAAAAGCAGGTCCAGGAACAGCGCAAGACTGTTTTTGACCGCCACAAGATGCTTAGTTAAACCCTACAGCTGACCTCAAACCAGGTTTAGAGTAGGAAACTTCACTGGGATCAGCCCTATTATACAATCACCAGCTCCATCATTACTAACTTCTTTGTCATTGCTGTGCACTGCACCCTCTGAATAAGTATTTCCTCACTCAGAAACATTTAAACACACAAGCAGATATTTTTTATTATTATATGTAACACTTAAGGCTCAGTTGCAGTTGTGAAAAAAACTGCATGTTTTCGCACTCTTAACAGCTAGAAATGATCTCAATCACTTCAACAAGTTGCAATGCAACAGATTTTGAATTTCTTGATAAAGTAAGAATATTTTTCGTCTGTTTAGCCAGACTGTGAATAGCTTTTAAGCTTCCTCGTGATAATTTTTCATGTTGTATACTTGCTAATTTGGTATGATATTAAGCTGTTTTTCTTATAGCATAATTTACCTCAGAACAGGTAAACTTTATGTAATGTGAATGGTCAATTTAGCTATTTGGGTAGAAAGAACACCTTACCTGTGCTACTGACAAGCATTGCACTTTTCCCAGTTTAGGTCTAATAATAATTTATTTATAATTATTATTATTACTATAATTTATTTGTCCCCCTTTGCTGTGCATAGTGACCTGGGCATATTTAGTATCAACAGATTTGGCCGTTGAATTTTAAATCGTTGAAATTGCTACCCTCTAAGATGGCCCCAATATGTGCCTTTTTCTTTTTCTCTCTATGTGTGCGTGAATGTGTTACAGCAAACCCCAGTGCAAAACTTGGCTCTTAAATGTTAGTTATTCATATTATCTTTAAGAAAACTTAAAAGATGGGAAGGTGTGCCAATACATTTTGGTTGGTATATCATCCTCCACAGTAGCAGTTGTATAAACTAAATATTTTATGTTGAATTTACCAGTGGAACCTGATTGGTAAACAGTTTGTTCAACAAGGGAGCCGCACGGCCACATTTTTGTCCTGTGTTTTGCAGTCGAGTTTGATGGAATATAATTTCCCTTGAGAGAGAGAGAGAGAGAGAGAGAGAGAAATGGAGAACAGGGCATTTAACAGAGCTTCAAAGCCATCCTCAGTCGAATCAAATCTCTGCCACTGGAGATTGTCCTAATCAGTAAATCTGCAGATAATGCAGTTAAGTGTGGCAGAATCACGGTGCCTCATGGCTTTGAATGGTCCTCCGGCATCATTATGTGTCAGTGAATTCCCCGTTGTGCTACTGAAACTCCCTGTTGGGGAATTTTTAATACAACAAGGAAAGGCACACTGACTCACATTACCTCATGCACAATGTGAACTACTGACGTTAATTTGTCTCAAATGGTTTGTTTTATCACTGAAGTGTTTTTGATTGATTTACATATAATTTCATATCACTGGTATCAGTGTATTTATATAGTTATCTCCAGCCTAACTGGAAGATGGCACTCCTCATGTCTGTACATTTCGCTTGATGTGAAATAAAATAAAAAAAATACTTACTTAATTGTAACATTTTGTTTGGGAACTGTCTTTTAGTTGCTGTAGAAGTCACTGCTGCTGATTATTGGCACTAGGGGGCAACAGAGGACACAATATGCGAGCTCTCAGCTTGTGTACTACTCATTTACTGTACAGAAATACTGCTTTAACATTAAATTAATCCTCACATTTGGTGTAGTGTTTAGCATTTGGGAAAACGTTCAACATTTTCACCTCTGCCATTTCGAAGGTGATGTCTGTTTGAAAAGTCAAACTGTTATTTCATTAGCAAAATCTTTCTTTAGAGGTGGGTGATAAAGTTTATTATCATGTACTGATTTTAATTATCATTGCGTTGTGATAATATGACAATATTTTGTTTCCCAAATGAATGATTCTCTGCACATTTTAATCAAAAATTTACATTTAATAAATGGTTTGTAACACAATAATAACCAGACATAAGGTATTCTATCGCAATGTTGTAACTTCTCCTATGAAGACATGGTAACATGTAAACAATTTGGGATCAGGTGACCTCGTAATCTCATTTTTTGCTCCTCTGAGAAATATTTCCACCTGCTCACTATATCCCCTCCCTGCTCACTATTTTGTCACAGTTTAGGGTTCAACAAGAGCAAACCTTTATCTTTTGCGAGGAGCCTGGATCAGTTTTAAAAGGGAAGGCAGGTTCAGGGGCTAGTGGTGAAATTCTGCTGCTGCTAGACCCCCCACAACTGCTTCTCTCCCCTTCTTCGTGCTCTCGTCTACCACTGCTGCCCTGCCCCAAATCCCCCCCCCCCCCCACCATCTTAACCATCCCCAAGCATGGCCTGTCAGTGGTTCACAGTCTAAATTTAAACTACAGCAGGGCCAACTGCTCCTCCAGCCACTCTGGGCTAATGTTATTTTCCCTGCCGTGGGGGCTTTTTCTGTCAGAGGCCCTCAGCCAGGAGGAGAGGCCTGTGGCTCTGTGTGAGGGAGATTTTAGTCAGAGGTAGAGGAGAAGAGGGAAGAGAGGGCAGCGGTGGAGCGTGCACAGGATTGGCAGGTCTGGAACACAGGGGGCCTTCGCAACGGGAGTTTGTACAGTTCCTCCACTTGGGATTATACAGTGAGAGGACACATTTCTAGAGGGCCGGTATCTTGTCTCAGGTGGAGGAGTCAAGATGGCAGCCAATGCAGAGGCGGCCAAGCCGGTCATCATGAATGAAGAGGAGCTGAAGAGGAAGCAGAGGGAGAAGCTGAAGAAGTTGCAGGCCACGGGGGGCAACCCTCGACCAGCGAGAACCCTCTTCCTCTTCTCCCTCAAAAATCCCTTCCGCAAGGCCTGCATCAACATTGTGGAGTGGAAGTATCCTTTATATCTTACACACACTCTCACGCTGAGCTACGTGTCCCGCAACTCAAAGGATTTTGTGTTTGTTATAGTAAGTATTAAGTAGACACTGGCTTTTCAACAGAACTATTTTTGTCTTGAATATACAGTATATATGATACTGAAGGTATTAAGAACACTTGACAGCTAGGGTATACAGAAATTAGGTGTCTGTAGGCCAGTGAATTATCAGCCATGCGGTTCACCTGTGGTAAGCACGCCCAAGCAAAGTCTCTCTCAAATCTGTGTTAAGGCGATCCCTGAAGTGTAAAGACTTCTGTTATGTATCTGGCAGACCTGCGTCAAAGTCAAGTTTGTAGCCCTCGTGTTTTCACCTGGAGAGCTTCTTAAGCTGATCTATTTACATCTGGCAGACAGAAGCAATTAATGACGCTGCCTCCAGTCCTGTTAGCTGACATTCTGCTTTATAATGTGGAAATAGCCGCTCTGAAATGCTGCCACTCTGTGAGGCTTAAAGCACAAACACAAGGCAGGCTGCTGAGTGATGTTATGGCCCCTATAGGGGGTTTCCTGCTTTCAGCCTGATCTCCATTCCTGGATGATACATATATTACATCCAAAATAGAATGCATCAGTCATATCTAGCCAGTGGCAACAGACTTCTTATTCACAATAGGGGTTACAGAGTACACAGTGAATGTTAACTTTATTACTTTATTATATTGTAAATAATTAAAATTTTTCTCTCTAACAGTTTCATTGAACTTTGTTTCCATATGCTCAGCCAGGCCCTGTGTTTTTTACTGCAGCAGTTCAATCACATTGGTATGTGATTCTCCAACATGGTTGCTGTATTTAGAGCAAAATTACAGAAATGTACTGAACCCCTTAAATCCTTCTTTTTGTATAAAATAAGTATATAGCATTAAATCCATGCTCACAGATTTTAGAATAAAAAAATATTTCACAGAATAACCAAACAGCTTTTTTCCCCTGATGATTTGTCTGTGTTTAAATGGTTTGGTCATATTCTTGGGCTGTGCAGCTGTCCCGGGGCATCACAGGGAGACATGATGCTGACCTGGCAGGGGAATTCTGTAAGAGAGCCCCCTATGGACGAGAATGAAGCAGCACAGCAGACAGGGTTACATTTAATGTGAGCGCTTTGCTGGCTGCCTGATGGGCTGTTAAAGGGATGTTGTTTCAGGCATCATTTAGCAGCACTGATTGGTGTTAGCAGAGCTGTAGCACTGTTTAATTGGTGTGTGTTTGCCACATTACATCACAAGAAAGACAGAACAACTCACACAGATAAAGAAATGGACAAATTATTTTCTCAAAGAGTTTTACCTTCTATTTTTAGTATTTACTGGACATGTACACGATTAACTCAAATGTTATCATCATATATTATTCAAGATAAATTGTATCACTTTGTTAACATTCCTTTTTGGGGGTACCTGGGATTTACCACTCCACATATATTGTTGTTATGATCCTGAGTTTCCCCATCCAGAACCTTTGAGATCATCATCTTATTGACCATCTTTGCAAACTGTATTGCGTTGGCTGTGTTCCTGCCCATGCCTGAAGAAGACAGTAATAACACCAACACCAACTTGGTGAGTATGAATATGAACACAGACCTTTTTTTTTTAATGTGTGACTCAGGACCCTACAAGTAGCTTTGGCCCGATGGGTGAATGTTGTATTGATATTTTGTTTGCCAGTACAACATTGGAATAGAAGAAAAAGCATTTGTCTTCAACAAATGAATATGACTGCTTTGAGCCAGCTAAATGTTTCAGCTGGTCACTGAGTGCCAAGCCCCGTTCAGATTCTTCCAGACACAACTCAGTTTTTTATTTGGGATCCCATGTGTGTCTGTGATTAGCTTATCCTTCCCTGTTTAGAAACAGGCTACTGAAAAAGACTATAGTACAAAAACATGAGAATTAACTACCAACACATGGGATATGCATTTTCTGAGGAGTTTTTATTTTTTTTACAATTAGATGAAAATGCCCTCCAAACTGGTTAAAATACACAAGTCTTTTAAGCTGAGGTTATTACATCAAAGTGAATGAGTGAGCTGTTTGACCCTTGGATGCTGCTGGTGTGTTTCCAGGTGTTACTATATTTCAACCTCACAGGTGTGTGTTTGCACTGCCATGAAGATGTGGATTGTGTATTATAGGTCAGAGACTCAACGTTACAAGCCAGGGATGACCAAAGTGAGCAAAAGATATATGTTTGCTCTCGCGCAGTTTGTACATCTTCCCGTTATGTAGATATCTGATGTTGTATTGACACTAGTATTATGGTATTGAGGAGGCCTGCTGTGAGAGACTGGATATGAGGATCGCTATCTCTCAGAGGCCTGACATCCAGCTCAAATGTCAATATATAGCGCCCATAGCAAGCCATCACCTGCTCTCCAATCAATCTTCTTCAAATCAATTTTGTGGGTACCAAACTGACTGACCTGTACCAGTAATTCATCAATCATCAGGTATCTGGACTTGAAAGTGACCCCATTTCTTTAATATCTTTGCTTTGGACCACTCACCAGCACCCCACTAAATCCTTCTTACTTCTTATGGTGCCATTCCTCAGAGGTGAGCAATGTAAGAAGAGCTGGTTAACTTCACCCCCTGTTGCTGTTAGAAGTAGGTCGGCCCAGGCAGTCACCCCACTGACGCAGGTGGATACATTTGCGGCCTCCTGTAACCACATTCATACTCATATACTCATAAAAAATATTATGGTTTGTAACACTGATACACTACAACATAGAAGCACAGCTCTACTTGTTGGCCTACATCACTGAATATGAATAACATTACTTGAGTTTTAGTCCATAAATGTATGTGTTATTGTTCATGTACACAAAGTTTAGCCTTGGAGGTTCTAATTGATTAGGTGGATTAGCTGCTGGACCGCTCAGTCAAACATTATTGATATGATTTGTTTAAAAGGATGAAAGGGAAATATACAGCATATTATATATCATTTATATTACATATAAATTATTACATATTACATATCTCATATCTGATTTTTATTCACTGGGAGCTCTATCATACTGTTCATACATTTGTATTTACGCAAGCAATGAAGAGCAAAACAGGAATTAGTCTATTTAATGTTGATAGTTTCAGGCTGTGTGTGTTATGGTCGAAAATAGTGCAATGCTGACGATGTTAGTTACTTGTGTGCTCTGTTTGTTGTCAGTGACAGTCACAACTGCAGAAAACCATACTCAGTTCTACATCCAGTTCATCTGCTGTATTTCAACCTCCTTTGTCTCTGAAAATATCAACACTGATTATAAAAACACGGGTACAGGCCTGATTTGAAAATTGATTCAACCACCCTGACATTTATCTGTTTGTGTTAGACTGTCTGACATGGCTGAACTTGTTTCATTAATCACAATGTGACTCATAGGCCATTCATCTATTAAACCCTTCTAAAGTAGCTAAGAGGCTAACAAAGCTATTAAGTTAATCTGATACCGGCAACATCTATTGCTATTTATCCTAGCAGATAAATGCCATAGCTGTCATTTGTATATGTAAATGTAATTTCCTGGTTTGTGCTTGTCTTGCTGTGCTGCAGGAGAGTTTGGAGTATATCTTCTTGATCATATTCACGTTAGAGTGCTTTCTGAAGATAGTGGCATACGGGCTCGTGTTCCATGAAGGCGCCTATTTACGGAACTGTTGGAACATATTGGACTTTGTCATCGTCTTCATGGGGTAAGATGAGCTCTGTGGTGGATATCTCTACCAGAAAAGGCACACACACCTTCCCTCTGACCACATCTAAGACACTTCCAAAAGTTGATGATGAAAACTGGAATATTGTACTGCAGGCTCATTTTGTTGGGGTAGGCACTTAATGGTTGTAAAAACTTTTCCTACAGTCTCTTCACTTTTGCATTGGATACCATCAATAAGATAGCAGGTGTGCCAATGGAGAAGGGTGGAGGGTTTGACATGAAGGCACTAAGAGCCTTCAGAGTGCTCCGACCCTTACGTCTCGTCTCTGGAGTCCCCAGTAAGAGCATATTCTCTAAATATGGCAGAAAAGCCCTGTGTCTATGTCACACTGTTTGATTCATTTGGAAATGCTGTAAAAGAGAAGGAACGCTTTCTGAAGACACAACAGATTTTGTGCTGTTCATTCAGGCCTGCAGGTGGTGATGAATTCCATCCTCAAAGCCATGCTGCCTCTGCTGCACATCGCCCTGCTGGTCTTTCTGCTGGTCACTATCTATGCCATCATGGGACTGGAGCTGTTCAAGTGCAAAATGCACAAGACCTGCTATTACACTGGCACAAGTATTTATAAAAAGGGCACAATTACTTTTAAATGTGTTTTCATTAATAGTCACCCCTGATGTGTAATCAGTTGTAACTCCTTGAAGCTACATTCCAAAGTTATATTCATCTCTTCTCTTTGGGCCACAGATATCTACGCCACAGCAGAAGGTGAGCTGCCTGCACCGTGCGCTCAAGCTGGTAATGGACGCCGCTGCAGCATCAACGGCTCTGAGTGTCGGCCAGGCTGGGAAGGTCCCAACAATGGCATCACCCACTTTGATAACATTGGCTTTGCCATGCTTACAGTCTACCAGTGTATCACCATGGAGGGATGGACCAAAGTTCTCTACTGGGTCAGTGACTGCTTGAACGTCGTCTCAGTTGTTTTTCAGTTTCAGTGCAGCGAATATGTCCTTGTGCCACCAAAACCTTTACATTTGTCTACATTGTAGGTATTTATTTTGTAAAGTATACAATATACCTAACATAAAACATTGTTTGTGGCTGACCCAGAGTTGTCTTTCAGGTTAATGATGCCATAGGAAATGAATGGCCCTGGGTCTACTTTGTTCCCCTCATTCTCGTGGGCTCCTTCTTTGTGCTCAATCTGGTTCTGGGTGTGCTCAGTGGGTAAGACAACTATTATCTTCTATCCTTTCTACTGTCTGCATTTTGCCTCTTCACATGAACATTCAAAATAAATAATCGCATGTTCCTGTTTTACTTTTCTTCCACTCAGGGAGTTTACCAAAGAGCGAGAGAAGGCCAGGTCACGTGGAGAGTTCCAGAAGTTGCGAGAGCGTCAGCAGCTGGATGAAGACCTGCATGGCTACATAGAGTGGATCACTCACGCTGAAGTCCTGGATGCTGACCGAGAGGGCCAAGGTCAGCACTATAAACCACCTCAGCACCCATCCCTTGTAGAGATACTGTTGAACTGAACAACTGTTATTCTCTTGTCAGGACTCCTGCCTTTAACCAGTGGAGATTCTGACACAGACAGCCTGTATGGCCTGGAAGGCAAGAGTCGAATTGTCTACTACTAGTGAGTCTGCAGTTTGTATATATTCTTATATTGTATATAATATTGAAGGCGACTTGGCACAGTAAGCTAGGGTTATTTTTGTGTTCAGCCGCTTGGCCCGTCGCTGGAACCGTTTCTTCAGGATGAAGTGCCTGGTGTATGTGAAAACCAAGGGCTTTTACTGGTTAGTGATGTTCCTCGTCTTACTCAACACCCTGACCATAGCAACAGAGCACCACCACCAGCCTGACTCGCTCACCTCCCTGCAAGGTTGGTGATTAACATATAATATTGGCAATATTTTTTTGCACCCAGCTTCATCTCATCCGTCTCTCTCCTCTCTTATCTCAACAGATGTGGCCAGTCGTGTACTGCTGGTGCTGTTTGTCATAGAGATGTTTGTAAAGATGTATGCGCTGGGTCCCAGAGGATATTTCATGTCTCTGTTTAACCGTTTCGACTTCTTTGTGGTGGTATGCGGTATCCTGGAGATGATCATGTTATCTGCGGGAGCCGTGGCTCCCCTGGGTTTCTCTGTACTCCGGTGTATCCGACTGCTGAGGATCCTTAAAGTCACAAAGTAAGTCATGTCCCCTCCAAGGATCATGTTGCATTCAATTGGTTGTAGTGTAATTTAACGTCATTTAACACCACTCTTCTTCCAACTGCTTTGCAGGTACTGGAAATCTTTGAGTAATCTTGTGGCCTCTCTCCTCAACTCGATACGCTCCATTGCCTCCCTGCTCCTTCTTCTTTTCCTCTTTATCGTTATTTTCTCACTCCTGGGCATGCAGGTGTTTGGGGGGAAATTCAACTTTAGTGACCACAGACCCAGACGCAGTAACTTTGACAACTTCCCTCAGGCCCTCATCAGTGTGTTTCAGGTGAGGCTAGATACTGACTAATAGATACTCTACTTTGAACTCTTAGCAGAGTCTGCTTTGATTTTGTTAAACCTTTCTTGCCTGATTTTGATGGTCCATGGTGTAAATGATGATCATTTACAGTAGAAATGACTACCCCATCCTTTCATACCCGACATTCATCAATAAATGTCTTCTTCTTTAACATAACACACCTATCTCTCAGATCCTAACAGGAGAGGACTGGACCTCCATCATGTACAATGGCATTATGGCCTATGGAGGGCCTGTTTTTCCTGGCATCCTGGTCGCCATCTTCTTTATTGTCCTCTTTGTCTGTGGAAATTGTATCCTTCACATACACTCACAACGTCTTTTAGGATTTAACAAGGAGTCTACAGCCATGCTAGCAGCTCTGTGAAGCTGTGCAGCCTTGCTTTCAGATTATACTTACATCATCATGATAACATGCTTGCAATGATAAAGCTCACATTTAATGTTTAGCAGTCTGATATTTAGAATGTCACTAGGTTTGCAGGTATTTGGTCATAAACAAAAGTGTTGGACAAACAGAAGTTTTAAACAGATGATTGTGCTAGATGAAAAGTCAGGGGTACTAAGGTTATTACAGTTCATCCACAAGGGATGTGAATGTCTGTACCAAATTTCACGGTAATCCATGAAATACTTGTTGAGATATTTCACTGAAAATCAAGTCAACCTCATGGTGGCGCTAGAGGAACAGTCAGAGAATCACCTCATTTGGATACATCATCTTGGCCCCATGAATCTCTGTAGTAAATGTGCCAATCCATCCAGTTCCATTTGATATGTGAAGTTAAGTCAATTTTATTTATATAGCCCAATATCACAAATCACAATTTGCCTCAAGGGGCTTTACAATCTGTACAGCATACACTGCAAAAACTAAAATCTAAGTAAGATTAATTATCTTAATTGAAGGCAAAATATATTTATTTTTTGTCTGACAAGATATTTCTTCTTACCAGGCGGCTTTTATGTTAGAGAATTTCACTTGTTTCAGGTTTTTTTTTCCTTAAGCCGCAAGTGAAATATTCTTGTTCTGTTGGCAGATAATCTTGCTTATTTTAAGTAATATTTCCCCCATTTTAATGCTTTTTCCCCTTGTTTTTGAGAGCTCACCTTTTGCAGTGTACAGCACCCTCTGTCCTTATACCCTTCATTCAGATGAAGAAAACTCCCCCAATACCCTTTTAACAGGGTAAAAATGGAAGAACCTTCATAAAGAGCAACAGAGGAGGGTTCCCTCTCTCAGGACGGACAGACATGCAATAGATGTCATGTGTACAGAATAGATTCGCAACACAAAATGTAAATTGTAAAACATAAGTCAAGAGGATGGATCCAGAAGGACAACTGAGCAGCTTCAGGTGTCACCCAGTAAGTGGGATCTGAGCCACACCACCTCCTCTCCACCATAGAGACCTGGAAAGAAGACAGGCCGCACAAACACAGTAGAGGGCAGTAGGATACACACAGAGGGCAGAAACAAACAAGGAAAGGTCAGGGGATCAGCACGGTCATTAGGATCCATTCTGTGGGGACCATTACTGGCTTTACAATATTTCATGGCAATGGTGGGCCATCCGACCTACTGACTAACAGATTAATATTGTCATCTATAGAGCCATGCTGCTAGCATAGCTAAAAATTGTATACAAAGCATTAATGTTTTAAAAAATCAAGGTTTTTGCTTTCCTGAGCTCAGATATCAGATATCCTCCTAAATGTCTTCTTGGCCATCGCTGTCGACAACCTGGCAGAGGCTGAGAGTCTGACTTCAGCTCAAAAAGAAAAGGCGGAGGAGAAGATGAGGAGAAAGCTACTAAGGTGAATAATAGAATAGCAAAATTTTAACCTAAGAGGGATGATCTTCTTTGTTGTCTCACAGCGAAACTCACCTCCATTCCCTTTCTCTTGTATCCTCCAGGTCCAAAATGCCAGACAAGACTGATGAGGAGAGGGAGAGGTTAGCTAAGAAACTGGCAGAGCAGAGATCTAAGATAGAGGTCATGCCCACCACTGCCAAGGTTAGCGTTGTATTTGGTATCATATCACATATTACTCGCTTATTCCTGGCGATGATGTATTATTCAGGAGCAAGTAGCTATAATACATGTATAATGTTTTTGTTTTCAGCTTAAAGTTGATGAGTTTGAGTCCAATGTCAATGAAGTGAAAGATCCATTCCCACCTGACGACTTCCCAGGTAACACAACAAATTTCCAAAAAATTTCTTGCATTTCTAACGCTAATTTCTCAGCGATGTAGTTGTAGCAGAAGGAGGTCACTTATTGCAGGAATTCATATTCATTACACTGGCTGTATACCAGTGATGCAGCCTTGGCTATGCTGCAGTATAAGTATAGTATACCCTCATTATAGACTCAGCCAATTCCCTGAGCCAAGTTTATAGCAGAGTCTAAAGTTAGACTATTTTCACACTACTCTGGGTGACTACCATATAAAGTCTACAACGTGAATTAATTCCTTTTTTTCCCAAAAATACTTTTGTTTTATTTATTTGCTGGATCTTTGTTTCTCTTCTGTGGTGCTGTAACATGACTACTGCCAATAAGTATTTCTGTCATTGACTTTAGTTTGATTCTGGTTTCTTCCACATGGTAGGTGATGACGAGGAGGTAGAGCCTGAAATCCCCATTAGCCCTCGCCCCCGACCAATGGCCGACCTGCAGCTGAAGGAGGAAGCTGTGCCATTGCCTGAAGCCAGCTCCTTTTTCATTTTTGGCCCTCAGAACAAGTAGGAACCAGACATATCAACCTGAAAATAACAGACTGAGATCTGTTATTTTCAGGTTTGTGTTTGGATATATTTCAGTGCTTCATACTGATTCACAATAACACAACAGTCAATTGATTAAACTCAATGATCACTGAATCTCTTTTCACATTCATTGGGATCCAGGTTCCGTAAACTATGCTACAAGATCATCAACGCCTCGTCCTTCACCAACTTAATCCTTCTGTTCATCTTGCTCTCCTCCATCTCCCTGGCAGCTGAGGACCCTATTGATCCCCAGTCTTTCAGAAACAAGGTGATTAACAGGTCTGCCACTACACACTGGACTGTTGAAAGAAGGCCAAATTTGATAACAAGTCTTTGTGCTTTCCCTCCAGATCTTGGCCTATGCTGACATTGTCTTCACATCTGTGTTCACCATTGAGATTGTACTGAAGGTAATGCGCTGCATATTTCGTGTCCTGCCTTATTTGGGTTTGAATGATTTAGCTCTTTGAAGTATTCTATGTGTTTCAATTTAATGATATTGGGAAACAAAACAAAGTTTGCCATTTTTCTTTGAAGAGAAAAATGCTCTGAAACAGCACAATGAATATCACAGGTCACTAGAATCTTCCCTCGTAGTAATGAAATTGTTTTATGTGGGTGAGAAGCATGTCGAAGTAGGATGAGGCCGGTTTCTTTCCCCTGAGATATCACAATCGGATCCTGCAAGAATCACTGTGAATCTACTTAATTTGCAATGATAGTAGTTATTTCCCTGCTGAATCAAATACTTAACTCAGTCATCTGTGTGTCAGTACTGGTGGAAATAAATTCATGAAATTTTCTTTTGTGTAACATTAAGGTAAAGAAAAGCAGCAAATGCTCTCCTTTGAGAAGCTTGAATCAGTGGATCAGAGCATTTTTGCTTTAAAAAACTAAATGATTTATAATTTTTTTGTAGAATAACAAATTGATTATTAGACTTATTTCATTAGTTTTATTTGAAATTCAACGCAACACATCTGTTCCTCTGACTCAAAAAAGCTTAAATACAATCGTGTTTGGTTTAACATTCTGGGTATGACTTACAGATGACAGTATATGGAGCATTCATGCACGAGGGCTCGTTCTGCCGTAACTCCTTCAACATCCTGGATCTGATTGTGGTTACAGTCTCCCTGCTTTCTATGGGAATGGAGTGAGTAAACATTGGAGTATGGAATATGGAGATGCTGTATTAGACACAGAACATGCTTGTTCTTTTTTTACTCAATTACAAATGTTAGTATTCCCAGATGTGCATATCAAGACTGCTTTTTGTCATGTGTTTGAATGCAGATCCAGTGCTATCTCTGTGGTGAAGATTCTCAGGGTGCTGAGGGTGCTGAGGCCTCTCAGGGCCATCAATAGAGCCAAGGGGTTAAAGGTACACATAGACATACTATAAATACAGTAATTGCCTTTGGGGAAATGTCTACATTTCCAATGGTGAAAGAATTCATCTGATCCTTTACTTAAGTAAAACTATCAAGACAACGATGTACAAATATTCCATTATAAGTATAAACAATACATAGGTTTTAAAAGTAATTTTCTTTTCTGTGACTCATATGACATTCTTATTATACTGATGCATTAATGTATAAATAGTGTTGTACTGTTGTTGCTCACTGGGGTGTAGCAAGTTTAGCAACTTCGGAAGTTTAGTCCAGTGGTTCCCAGCGTAGGAGTAGTCGGGCCCCTTCAAAGGGTCACGATATAAATCTGAGCATTTGTGAGATGATCAGTGAGAGAAAAGAAGAAAAAATTACCACATTTAGATTCTTTTTTTCTTTTTACTTTTCTCCGTACAAGACACTGCTTTTATGTAAATGGTGACAAGCAATTAAGGTTGGAAACCACTGGGATCTTTAGCAGTACTTTTTAATTTTTAATCTGAAAACTAATTATAACTGTTAAATAAATGAATAAATGTAGTGAAATATTTCTAAAGTGTAGTGGAGTAGGAGTATAAAGTAGCATCAAGTGAATAAAAAGTACCTCAAAACTGTAATTACTACACGACCCATGTTTTTTCCTAAGTTGATGTTTGTTTGGTTTGTTTTGTTTGTTTTGTTTGCACATTCCATCTTCATGGTTGTTACTTATTTTTATTTATTTTTTCTAGTCTTTGTATTTCTGGACATACTCGCCTGTAGATTTTACTGTATGTGTAAGAAGGTGTGAATGTTGAGATCCCTTGTATAAGATACTGTCTCAAAACTGAGTTAAATGCTGTAAAGTGAGATTTGAAAGATGTTCAGAATAAAAAATAAGTGACAAAAAAACTGTAACTGTAATTACTGTAGGTACTTGTTTTACCAGTATTAAGTGGTCATTGTTTGTCTATATTGACAGCATGTGGTCCAATGCGTGTTTGTGGCCATCAAAACCATTGGCAACATCGTCCTGGTCACCATGCTGTTGAACTTCATGTTTGCCTGTATTGGAGTGCAACTCTTCAAGGTAAGTTTTTAAAAGATGATGTTGGCACCTTTATATTGCGTGTGCGCTGTAAAGCTTGCAGTTCCAGATGTATTAAACGTGTCACTGATTCCCTCATAGGGTAAATTCTACAGCTGCACAGACCTGTCCAAAATGACTGAGGAGGAATGCCAGTAAGGCAGAAATCTTTCACACATCATATATTTCATCTCTCAAAACTGCAATGCTGTTTGAGAGTGACTGTTCTCTGCATCTGCTCTCAGGGGATACTTCTTGAAGCACATGGATAATTCCCTTCAGGACACAGTGTTGGCTAAGAGAGAATGGCTCAACAGTGACTTCAACTTTGACAATGTGCTCAATGGCATGCTGGCCCTCTTCACTGTTTCCACATTTGAGGGCTGGCCAAAGTAAGCATGGCATTAATTTTGATTTGATAAATTACTTTTTTTTTTTAATCTTATCTGTCTGATTGAGTTAGAAGACAGAACATCTGGTTACGTGGATATTGAGTTGGAAGTAATTACATTACCTGGAGCCAGAGATGCAATAGAGGCAATATATTCATGCCATGTATTATAATATCTAAACAAATTAGCCTTATTGTATCTATGATCTTTGATCTTTGTTCTGACAAGTACCCCTCTTCTCTCAATATCACTTCATTTGTTCCTAGACTGTTGTACAGAGCCATTGATTCAGATGAAGAAGACATGGGTCCTGTCTTCAACAACCGCGTGGATGTGTCCATCTTCTTCATCATCTACATCATCCTCATCGCCTTCTTCATGATGAACATCTTTGTGGGCTTTGTGATCGTCACTTTCCAGGAGCAGGGCGAGCAGGAGTATAAGGACTGTGAGCTGGACAAGAACCAGGTATGCTAAGGCCCCCAGAGATGAAGCTCAGTGAGGTAGTCTGGTCATTCTCTATCTAAAACACATTACTCAAGTGTAGAATCACTCATTATACTTCTTTTAACCCACCTTCTGCCTCCCCTTCAGCGTCAGTGTGTGCAGTACGCTCTGAAGGCTCGTCCTCTGAGGTGCTACATCCCCAAAAACCCCTACCAGTACAGAGTCTGGTACATTGTCACCTCCTGCTACTTTGAGTACCTCATGTTCTTCCTAATTATGCTCAACACCTTGTGTCTGGGAATGCAGGTATGTAAATTAAGCTCATGTTGCAACCTAAAAGCACTGACATTGTATTGAGGCAGATAATAGTCAATAACAGTCAATATTCAGTATCTTTAGAGAGTTCCATGTTTGTTACTGCATTTAATTAATGAGAAAGTGGAAACTTTGAAACTGTATTTAAAATATGTTACATGATAACTTTCCAGCAAAATCCCAGACTAATTAATTTGGGGGCACATTAATGCAAGGTGCCCTACATATTTCTTTGTCAACTTTACTTTGCGTGTCCGTTTTTTTTATGTACTATGGTAAGAGAGGACTTGATAATGATAATACTGATTATGGTGCTGACCAAGTTAATTATGACTTAAAATTCTGATGATGGGCCAGAGCTGTAGTTGTACTAAACAAGACTTCCCTATAGAGATAGACCTTTTTTAGAGAGTAAGATCCTTTTTGTTTAAATAGAAACAGTCGCAACATCAAAGCCACCAGACTCCCTTGACAAAAAACATAATTTTACCTCTCTGGTCTTCACACAATAACACAAACAAAGAAAAACACCAAAGTCTCACAGTAACACAAACAAACTAACCGACAGAGGCAGCAGTAGACCAGCAACTCCTGTCTTCTGCGAGGTAAATTTTATTTTTTTTGTCAAGGGAGTCTGGTGGCTTTGACAAGAGCAATATTGCAGCTGTTTCTGTCACTCTGAGCCTGTCAGCGGCACCACAAGCACTCGTGGATGTACTTTGATGGTGCACAGTTGCTGACTGCAGCACGCTCGCTAAATACTGGAGCAATATCAAAAAGTGTTGTCCCCTTTAGTCACATAGACACAAAAACATGGGAATGAAAATGACCTAACTTAGCCTTTAAAGGCCCTGAAAACCTATTTTCTCAATCAGCTTCTTTTTATTAGTGATGGGATCCTCTATGACCACATCATATGTCTGTCAAAGTTACAACACATGAAAAGATATCTCTATTTCTTTTGATTATTTTTAATCTTTGCTCTTTTCACTGGTTTGAAGTGGGCGTGGCTCAGATTAGCTTTTTTTGAGCTATATGTAAATATGTTCACTAAAACTACATGTTCTGATAATGCTACATCAAATTAATACTTGTAACATAATATTCATTTTCCTCTTTGAACAGCATTGCAACCAGTCGGACCATGTGACCAAGCTGTCGGACACTCTTAACTTGATCTTCACTGTGCTCTTCACTGTGGAGATGATTCTCAAGCTCATGGCCTTCAAAGCGAGAGTAAAGACTCATATGTTTTGTTTTTCAAACAGTTTTCCTCCCTTGTACAACCATTACTTGTAATGGAGTGTGGTTGTCTAGTGTCCTACCATCTCAGCAGTGCTTTACCTCTCTGTGCAGGGCTACTTTGGAGACCCCTGGAACGTCTTTGACTTCATTATTGTCATCGGTAGCGTTGTTGATGTCATCCTGAGTGAAGTTGATGTGAGTACATATGATAACTCCTTTTTTTAATCAATCCTAATGAATTCCACAGATATCAGATCATCATTGCAGGTGCTGTGTATGAAAGTCCCCGGCCTCAATGAGACATTCCCGGTCAATAGGGTGATTTGAATTTAAGTGGCTGAATGTATTCATTCAATGCTCTGACCCAGACACATAACTGTGGTTCAACAGCTGATTGGTGTTAGCAGAACTAGCTCACAGGACATGGTAAGTACTGTTGTAGGCCATTCCCACCTCAGCTCTCCTGCTCGCACCCTCCTCAGTGTGCCTTGTGAATTGCCATTTCCATCATCAAAATGTCCATTATTCCCACAATTATCCATGACAGCATTTCAGGAATGTTATGTTTTCTGTGTGTTGTTCGAGCACTTTAAAAAGAGCACAATATCAATTAAGGATTTTAGTGTCATTTTATTTGGTAATGCTACACAAATGTTCTCTCTCTGGCCAGTCACTGTTTTTCCTGTCATTGTTGCACTGCGTTATCTTTCATCATCTTTTTTCATCCACAAACACTAGCAAATTCTGTTTTCTCCATCCAATACTTCACTTCCTCTCACTATCTCCTCTTCTTTTGCTTTCTTTTCTTCTTCGTAATCCCTCTCAATGCCTCTGTCCTCCATGCACCTCACTCCTCATCTGTCTATCCTCCACAGACTGCCCTGGCCTCCAGTGGAGGACTGTACTGCCTCCATGGCTGTGCTGTAAATATCTGATCTGCACTTCACTGCTGCATGAGCCTTGCTGTGTGAGCATGCCACTATGTTCTCTACTAAACCGTAGTCCTACTGTACTGAACCGTGTGTGGGGCTCAAAACTGCTGGTGAAACATCTGTGTTTCTACTGTCTGTCTAATCTTACAGAGCAAATATAAGATAAGACGTAGGGTTGTTGCTATATTGTGTTCCAGTACTGCTCAAATAGTTTATACACACAGGGCTACAACTCCACACTGACTGTATCTGCATAGCAAGTTTTAATGGTGGCTGGATTGACTGAAAACTGTGTTTATATTCTTTACTTCGCATGAGTTAGAAAATTGCAGTTGTCTGGTTTTCAGCAACTAAGACCTGGAGGCTATGTATCTAATGTTAACCATATTTTGTGATTGTAAATCATACCGTAATAATGTTTAACAGTTGATAAATGCCATGTCTGCTATGTGCCCCTAATACATATTATATAATAATACTAACTTCCATTAATTTCTTCTTAATATAATTCATGTAACTACAGTATGTCATCTCTTCATCTACTTTGTACAGGAGACAAATCCTATGCAAGCCATTGCGGTAAGCCGGAACTTTCCCAAGTTGAAAACCAGCAATGTTTTTTTTTCTTTTCTTTATGTTTTCTTTTCATCAAATCCTCTGTTTTTTTCTCTGGTTCTTTCTGTCCATAGGCATCTGAAAATGCCTCTGTTTCCATCACGTTCTTCCGACTCTTCCGTGTCATGCGTCTGGTCAAGTTGCTGAACCGTTCGGAGGGGATCCGTAACCTGCTGTGGACCTTCATCAAGTCCTTTCAGGTCAGTCACACTGTGGTCATGATCATTTTTATTTTTTTATCTCTACTTTTAACACACTTTGAATGAGCTGACTGTTTGGTTTGTGTCTACAGGCTCTCCCTCACGTAGCTCTGCTCATCGTGATGCTCTTCTTTATCTACGCTGTCATTGGGATGCAGGTACAGTCTTCAGTATTTCCTTTCTGGATGTAAACATTGTAAACCTCTTTAGCTTGTTAATATGTTTCTGATTGAATTCCCGATGTTGTCTGTTTCTGTATTTGTCATCGGTGCACCCATATTGACTGGGATTCAGATCTTTGGAAAGATAGCTTTAGTGGATGGCACCCAAATCAACCGCAACAACAACTTCCAGACATTCCCTCAGGCTGTTCTAATGTTATTCCGGTGAGTCTCCAAACCTAAGCCTCTAAGATAAAAGGTCTTTTGTTTCAAGTTCAAAAACTGAGCCAAGATCTCACTCTCATTGTTTACATATCCAGATGTGCTACTGGAGAGGCTTGGCAGGAGGTCATGATGGCTTCGATGTATGGGAAGAAATGCGACCCCAAATCTGACTTCCTGCCAGGAGAGGAGTACACCTGCGGGTCCAACTTCGCTGTCTTCTACTTCCTCAGCTTCTACTGTCTCTGTGCCTTCCTGGTGAGTAGCAGTATTATGTCAACATTTATCTTTTAGCTGCATTAGCATCCGTTGTTATATTTTAACCATCATAATGTGATGCTGAAATGTTAAAACCCTATAAGTAAGGTCATTCTTTCCTACCTACGTCAGATCCTCAACCTGTTTGTAGCTGTCATCATGGACAACTTTGACTACCTGACGCGTGACTGGTCTCTTCTGGGCCCACACCATCTGGATGAGTTTAAGAAGATCTGGGCTGAATATGACCCAGAAGCCACGTAAGCCTGAACACCAATTGTGAAACTTTACCATTTATTTATTTATGCTCAGAACACAGAACACAGAACTCTGATCTAATAGGGGGAGAATTAAACATCTGGACGTGGTGACACTTCTGCGGCGCATCCAGCCTCCACTGGGCTTTGGCAAGTTCTGTCCTCATCGTGCTGCATGCAAGGTACATTCAGTCTATGAACAGGGTCAAATCAATAAGTAAAGTGCAATAAAAAGAGAGTTTAGATTTAGATCATTTACATTTGTTGTTGTAAAAATTATAAGAAAAAGAAGAGAAAATCTGTAAATGAAAAATCATGAATGAAAAGTCAATCAATGTAAAGCATTAATGGTTAAATTGGATAATAGATCATTTAAAAAGATGGAACAGGTAGAGAAGTAGCAATTTAAAAAAGTGCTTTCCACATTATCTTGATTGAAAATATCAATACACCTGATTGTGGCAGAAAGTTTGAAAAATTATACATATTATCTCCCACCTTTCAAGGCCCTCCCAAAAAGCGTATTGTAATAAATTGTTCTAATACTCTGGTGCCCAAATTCTCTAAACTTCCTGTCTGCAGCGCTTGGTTGGCATGAACATGCCCCTGAACAGTGATGGCACGGTCACCTTCAATGCCACCCTGTTTGCTCTGGTCAGGACTGCACTCAAGATCAAAACAGAAGGTACGGAGCATCAAAACTTGGCTAATACCATCATGGATTAGAATTCATACACAGTATATGTGCTTCTTTCAACTTGATGTACATTATGTAATTTCAGTACTTTTTTTTTTTGGTTTTTCTGAACAGGTAACTTTGAGCAGGCCAACGAGGAGCTGAGAGCCATTATAAAGCAAATCTGGAAACGCACCAGTATGAAACTGTTAGACCAGGTCATCCCCCCTATAGGAGGTAAGCCTGTCAACATAAATAGAAGTAGTACCATTTCACCTTTACAGAATACTCCAGTATTTCTCACACTGACAGCACTGTGACTTGTCTGGTTACAGATGATGAGGTGACTGTGGGGAAATTCTACTCCACTTTCCTGCTTCAGGACCATTTCCGTAAGTTCCTGAAGCGTCAGGAGGAGTACTATGGCTACCGGCCCAGTAAGAAGAGCGCCTCGGGCCCGGAGATCCAGGTGAGACATAAATATGGGGTCAATCGTTATTGACGTGATGATTATCGATCGTTATTATAATGTTAAAAATGTCAGACAGGATAAAACTGCTGAGAATCACGAGACGCAGCATTTTTCAGAATAGTGTGTTATTGCTATGCTAAGGCACTTTTGCTTTTTAAGCACTAGACTGTTACAAATGCACTTAGCTGATTTCTCTGTGTAGGTGTAACCCTGCGTATATCTGACCTTTTGCTTTTTTTTCACCAGTACTCAACTTCATCCTTCCTTTTCTTCCTCTCCTTACATTGCCATTGCTCTCCATTTTTTTAACATTTCCCATGTCCCTTTCTAGGCGGGCCTGCGGAGTATAGAGGAGGAGGTGGCTCCAGAGATGCACAGGGCCATTTCAGGAGACCTGCAGAATGAGGAAGAGATGGACAGAGCTATGGAGGAGGCTGGAGAGGAAGGCATTTACCAGGTGTGAAACACTGAGTGCAAGCTGGCAGAATAGACATACAGGCTAAAGATAGTATCTGCATTATCATGTCAGCTGGAAATCTTTCAGCTGTAGTTTTGGTCAATGTTGATTTATTATATATATATTTTTTTTTTTTTTTTAATCAACTTTGGAGACTTACAGGATTCTACCTGCTTGTGCTTGTTTTGGTCTGTATTTCCAGCGTACTCATGGTCTGTTTGGTAACCGGGTGGACTCATTCTCCTCTGAACCCGCCAGCCCTCAGCCCCACCAGATGGCCAACCAGCGGCCCCTCCAGTTCTCTGAGAGCCAGTCTGAGTCTCCACCAACCTCTGCCCTGACGCCCACTACTGAATTTTTCCCAACTACTGCGCCAAAAAGCAACACTAACAACAACGCCTTTGCAGAGTGAGGACCGAACACACTGCTACCTCTCAAGGAGCTCAGATGACATGTGCTGAGGGTGCGATTGGTGACCATTTTTGTTGTCTTTCAGATTTTCATTCGAAAGAGAGGGCAGTCCCATAGAGTTTTACAATCCCAGTGAGGATGCAGAGCCAGGTATGTCAAGAGGTCTTTGAATATTAATCAAACTCGATTTTTTTAGCACCTTTTATAGAGGTCACTGCAGTTCAAAGTGTTTTTCAGACGAGTTCCAACAAGATGATAATAAGAAAGTATAAATGTAACAGTAAGCAATACATTTTTCTTTATTCACCTTTGTTCAGACCTGCAGTCCTGGAACTTCACAGTGAGAACAGACAAAACACAGGTAATATTTTCTTAAAGGCCGTCTTATCCAGTATAAATGATGAACAGCTGGCATACAACGTATGGATGCATTTCTTTTCTTTGCAGTTCCCTTATGAGCCTAACTATGGCGACAGCCAGAGTCGGAGCTCCAGTACTGCGGTAGATCAGCTCGTCCAGGAGGTAAGTGAGGAAGGATCCTGGACTGTCAGCCTCTTTTTATCACACGCTAATTACTTACCAGCCGGAGATGTCCTGATCCACTGTCAGATCTGTCATAGATAAGCGATAATAAGCATAACTGCTTTTTTCAGCATCAGGCTCATTTCCTGGACACAAATTAAGCAGAGTTCCTGGATTGAACCAAATTTATTTCTCCTTACAAAGTTGAGGTTTAGTTTCAGTTTCTTTTGGAACTCAGTGCACTAAATGCAAGAGCAATCAATGTGTAATCACCTGGAAAACCAAGCAGATGGACATTCTGGGACTGGGAATCTGCAGATCACTTTTGCATAGTTTTTGTTTGATATAAAACTCACCTGGATGTGACATCTCAGAGTAATTATTATTATTTACAAACCGAAATCAATGTAAATCTCTCTGTAAAGCTGTTCAGTGTAAAGAAAGACTTGTTAAAATCCATAAATCGTAGATGAGCTGTAAAGTGAAATCGAAATATTATATTTGAATTTCAGGCTGGATTTTTCCTGTAGGTGTCTGACAAAGATATACTCACTGCCCTACATGGATTTACATTATTATGCATAATAATGTACTTACTACACCAGGACCTGTGTGTTTAAGATTAATGCATTACCAGTAACAATTACATTATAAGTTTTCTTTTCTAGGCTCTTGTAAAGGGCGGTCTGGCCTCCCTGGCCAAAGACCCCAGCTTTGTCTCTGTGACTAAGGAGATGGCTGATGCCATGCACACAACTGTAGATGATATGGAGAGCGTGGCTCAGGGCATCCTCAGCGAACGCTCCACCAGCGTCACCTCAGTCAAAAAGAGACGCCCTATCCCTGTCCCTCCTCCCACCGTTGCTGCGGCAGCACAGGGGACAGGTGAGCCAGATCCGGCTGTGAGGAGAAAGAGACGTCCGATCCCCATGACTCCTTCCGTACAGGAGGCGGCTGAGGCAGACTCCAAAGTTTAAGAGGCTGTCACTTGAGTTTTATGTGGTTATTTCTGGATTTTTACACTTGCAGGTGGCTCCACCTCACACCACTTTACCAAGTCTGTTGCCCTCTGTGACAATTTTTATCTACTAGCCTGGCTCATGGCAGGTTGGGTCAGGTTTTGTCATGTGTGGCTGAAACTTAACCAAGGAGAAACAATATATCTGATGACGAAACATCTTATTCTTCAGATTTATTGAAATAAATAAAAACACAACTTATCTCGCGAACAGATTGATGAACTTCTTTCTTTGTAGCGTATGTTGAGGTTATTCATTCCATATGACTTATGGGACAAACATGTGAGTGAGCTTAGTGTCTTACTGAAACCTCACTGAGGGAGGTTTCGGAAAGTGACTGGTGACTAAAACGCCTCACTGGGATGAGGCTGCTGTCTTTATTGTGCAGCAGTTCAGTGAGGACAGTGGGAAAGGACTCCACTTTGGGGAAATGATGACTGAGTTTCTGTGAATCCAGGGCCAGAAAAGGGCTCTGGTGCTATCACAATGCAAATTAAAGAATTATTTTCTTTGTTGGTACACCAGCATCCTCTGGTCACTCAGGCCTTGCTGTCTTTTACTGCAGTTTTCTCCTGCTCACCAGTCTCGTGTGAAGTTGGTGTCAGCAGATTTTAAAGAGCAAACATCTTTTTTTAAATTTTTTATTTGGATGTAGAGATATGTTTAATCTACAAAAGTATTATCCAAAGATTTAGCCGTATTAAAGTACTTGTTCAATTTAAAGCCCTACAGTGGCATCAGTAAGCAGTGCATGCATCACTGTACTGCTACAGGGTTTATGTGCTTTGATTTACATAAACATGTCATACATTTGAGTTAGGGACACTAAGATTGACCCATACAGATAATGTTTCTTCAGCATACCTGGAGTATGGTGGATTTAGCTTTATAGCTCACCCAGGCTTGTATCACATTTTATTCAGTTGCATGGGCAAACGTTATTGAACTTGTTTCATGTTTTTTCAAATAGTGACAGGCCTTGCGGAGGACGTTTTATTTTATTTTTTACATTATCTGATCAGCCTGTGTTTTAGTGTCATACATACGTTATGTTGCAAGGTTTTGGAGATACTTTGAATGAACTTTATGTGTCAACCTCAAGTCTCCTTCACTTCTGGATCTGTGCCATTATGGCTGATGTTACATTGGTGTTTTCACCATGGCGAAAGAAATAAACCATCCAAACATTCATGTCTGTGTTAGTTTCCTTTCTGCAAACAAACCAAAGAAGGACATCTTACAATACAGGCAGTGATTTCGAGAAGGAAAAAAAACCCCAACCCCATGAGGTGAGTTACTCCACTAAATAATGATCAAAACTAATGAAGCAGTTACTGCAGACGGAGCCTTGATGAGAAGATAGGTGCATGCTTTGGATGCTGGCCCCCAAAGAAGTTACAGTGTGAAAACTGAGAGCCTCTATAAATAGTCTTTCCTAGCAAAGCGCACACACACTCCCCCTTATGAAAGGAACACTAATGCAGCAAGATGTGTGCTGCAATTTAGGTTCAAATAAAAGAAAATTCCTAAAATTTATGCACAAAGCCGTCAAAGCAGCACCTGAAATCAGAAATGAGCATTGGAGTTACATGCTTGCATTACAAAGTAAAATAAATCAAAATAAAAGGAGCTTAAATAATTCAAATTTTATTTATTGAAGCAAAGCAATCAATAAAACAGCCCTGACAGAAAAGTCTCATGTTGAGTTTCCCCATTCGCCTAAAGCTGATTTAGAACATCACTCAAGGAATATGAAGAGACTTTCGTTATTCGTACAGCCGTATAACCTCAGCACATTTCCTTTGAAATAATTTTCTTGACAAAGCTCCATGATCTCCTTGTAGCACCGCCAGTTGCAGCTAACTAGGGGTTTTACTTAGCTATCACACGGGAATGTATCCATCGCACTGTAACAACAGTTTCCTGATTAAGCTTTAAAAAGGGTAGCATGTGAAAATGCAAATACATCTTTTACAGAGGACAGCCAAAGGCTTTAAAGCACACCAATGAAAAGGAGGGCCATAAACAGTATAAAAGTTCTGAGAACAAATCTTGTTTCAGGTAAATTCAACACATTTTACCACGTCATACAAATTCTACAGTCTGTTAAAAAGGCTTTAATCCCTCTCACTTTCACTTGATTATAATTAATTTTTATTGATATTAATCACTCTTTTATGGCCAAATGGAGAAAGGGCTGGCTTGTATAATGTACATACATCCTGGTTGTCTCTTTCTATAAAAGAACAACCCCCACAACTAAAAGAAAAACCTCACTAATTCACTACTCTAACATATACAAAAAAAAAAAATACATAAACACAAAAAAACCTTAAGAAATAAGATGTGGGACTAATGGATACATGATCTGTGACTACAGAATACATTAGAGAGAGTAGCAAATGAACGTCCGACTTGCCAAAATGCCAGTGTTGGGAGTGCTGGTTTTATTCATTGGGATTTGGGTTGGCATCAGGATACTGAGAGAGGTCAAAAGTAAGCACTTTGCTGATGACACAATCTCCTTGCTGTGAGAGGAAGAGAAGAACACACAGAGAAGAACAGTTCATACTTTAATCATATCTACAGCAGGTTGTTTCCAATGTGCATTTGTTTAACAAACAGCTCAAGATGCTTCGCTTTTATTCTGACAGAATCAGGCATATGTTTTAATGATGTCAGGTTTGAAACTAGATAAGTGACTAAATCCAATCCTATAATACAAGTTTTCTGCAGTATTTACCAAATGATATTATAAGACTTGGACCGGTCAAAGAATGGCAGAAAACCAATAGACGTCTATTGTTTATGAAGTACATGAATATATTGACATTTAAAAAATCACATTTTTAAATAATATCTTTCAAGGCCTTTTCTGAGGGAACTGAATCAATACTACTTAAAGCCTTTTCAAAACCTACAACTGTGAAAGCTTCATGGCTGTATTTTACACTGTATATTGTTTAGATAACATTGAGAAACACACCTCTGGATAAACGCCAATGAGTGAGTCTGCCTTGGTGTAGAATTCCTCCTTCAGAGAAATGACGATGGCCTGGAAGTTCAGCACCGACTGGTCTTTGATATAATTGGCCACCTTGAGAGTACAGAGGGAATTTATGAGCTGTAGTTTGTAAAACAGCAGTGTTTATAAAAACAAATTATAATAATTGTATTTCCTTTCACAAGTAGCATTTATTAAAAGGCCCCAGTTACTGAATCAAATATTATTTCTGAACAGACCTTGCCAATGTTAGTGTTGTCCAGAGCAGCGTCAATCTCATCCAGGACAAAGAAGGGGGCGGGTTTGTAGCTAGAGACGAGCAGGAAAGATGTTAATATTCAAACCGTGCAGACATCATCATAAAGTTTACAGAAATGCAAATACTCTTTACACATACTTTTTTTAATTAAGCATGTTTTAAGACTATGTATTCCTCAGTTGTTTCACCTGTGAATAGCAAAGAGCAGGGCCAGGGCAGCAACAGTCTTCTCTCCTCCAGAAAGGTTGTCCATAGGTCTGAACCTCTTCCCTGGAGCCACACAGTTATAGTTGATGCCATCCAGATAGGGCTCCTCTGGGTTTTCTGGGCCCAGAAAAGCCTACAGAAGAGGGACACACTCATTTGATAATGTTTTGATTTGGTTTTTAATTTATGTAGGTCATGTAAAAAACACTTTTTTTTTTTTTAAAAAAAAAAAAAAAAAAGAGAGAAAAGAAATGGAGGCATACCTGTGCACTACTGTTGCGTGAGAGGGCCTTGTAGATCTCATCAATGTTAGTGGCCACAGACTCAAAGCAGTTATTGAAACGATCAAACCTTTCCTTCTTGATCTGCTCAAAGGCTTGCTTGGCCTTCTTGGCTCGCTTACGAGCCGCCTCAAACTCTGAGGGAAAGACCGCAACATAACATTATTAGGAGCTCTAGAATGGTACTGCAAACCTTCATCACTTCCTTTATCTCTCTCATTTAATCCCAACCTCTACCATTATCCTGCCATCTCACCGTCACTGGTCTCTTGGAACTTGTCCCTGACACTCTCGAGCTTCTCCATGGCCTTCATGTTGGGTGCGCTGATCCTCTGTAGGATACTCTGCTGCTCGTTCAGACGCTGCTGCAGTGTGTTTGTCTCCGCCTTGATCTCTTCCTCTGACAGTGCATCCTGGAGGAAGTCGACCAGGATTAAATACATTTAAGTGTACTTTGTAAGTGCAGCTTAAACTATATACATCTTTTGTATATTAAGTACTTTCTAACCATTTAGAGAAAAATGCTATATTATTATTCCTACTCACCTAGAAAACCAAGTAACACACACCTCATCACATTTAAACATGAGAGGGAGTAGGTCAAGTTTGACTATTTAAATGTAAGGCGTTGGTGTCATGTGTAAATGCTACCTTGAGGTCTTCAGACAGGTTGCTGTAGTCGATTTCTATGAGAGCCTCTTTAGCGAGAACACTGCTGGACGTCCTCTGGCTGCTGGATTCATCTGTCTGGGAGCTCCCCTGGATTTGCAAAACAAAAGAAGGATGTCATGTTCTGCTTCAATCCCGATGGTATGAAAGTTGGAGCCTGTATGAGCGGGTTCTGTGTACCTCTCCCTGGCTGATATCATCCATTGTTCCAGAACGAAGAGGCAACCTGATGTCCTGCATTTTGCAGGCTTGCAGCAGGTTGTGACGGTCGCTGCGCTTCTGCTCCAGTTTGGTCTCGATGGCCGTTACCTCCTTCTGGAGCTGAGTCAACTCCCTGAAAGACACGGAAACAACATTTGTAGCACAAACCAACTCAAAAGGTAATATTTATATGACATAAGAAATATTAAAGTTTGTGTGTGTGTGTTTGCAGCCGCTGACTTGTTAGCGCCACCCAGTTTCTTGCGGATCTCCTCCATCTCATGATTCTTATCATTGACTTCAGATTTCTTGGTGAGGTGCTGGTTCTTCAGGTCCTGCAGTTGGGCCATTGTTTCATCAATGATCTTCATGTGTCTGTGCTCCTCCTACAGGAACGCAAGAAAGATTTTTTTAAAAAAGACGTGAGAATTACCTTGATGTCAAAATTGAGGTCAAATTGGGATAAGTCAAGTTTCATTTCACACTTTCTGTTTTTACCTTCTTAAGTCGTTCTATTTCAGCTTCATCCTTCTTCACGGTCTGCTCCCACATCATGACTTTTTCCTGGTCCTCCTTCAGCTGATTCTTCTC